ACCCTTCTCACTTGGAATAAAGAAACATTTGGGAACCTCTTCCAGGATGTTAAAGATGCTGAAAAACGGGCAGAACAAGCAGAAGAAAAACTTGAACAAGAGGACTCACAAATAAACCTACTAGAATTCAAACTTGCCACAGCCCTTCTCCAACAAGCCCTTAAAAAGGAGGAGAGTCTTTGGGCTCAAAAGGCAAATATAAGGTGGATCTCACAAGGGGATGCCTCTACAGCTTTCTTTCACTCTTTTGTTAAAGGAAGGAGGCATAGATTGTGTATCTCCTCTCTTAAATATGATAATGGAAAACTGCACAATACATTGGAGGGGATCTCTAAAGTGGCAGTGGACCACTACTCAAGGATTTTCTCCACTGTTCATGAGGGGGATATGGGACAAATCCTGGATCACATCCCTAACTGTGTATCTCCCCAGGACAACAGTTTGCTCAGGTCAATCCTAGATGAGGAGGAAATCAGGAGAACAATTTGGTCCTTAAATGCCAATAGCACTGCTGGTCCAGATGGTTTTAATGGTTTTTTCTTTAGGGATTCTTGGGAAATTATCAAAATTGATGTTTGTAGGGCAGTTCAGGAATTCTTTGTGGGCATCCCCATGCCAAAAGCTTTTGGCAGCACTCTTATTACCCTGATCCCTAAGCAGGAAGGCTCCATTACCTTGGATCAATTTCGTCCCATCTCCTTGTCAACCTTCTTTAGCAAAATCATTTTCAGGCTGTTAAGTGAGAGGCTCAAAACAATCATTCCTAAACTAATCTCCCAGGAACAAGCAGCATTCCAGGTTGGTAAAAACATTACTGAACATGTTCTCATGGTAAAAGAAATGGTCCACATTCTCTCAGCTAAAGGGAGAGGGGGGGAAACTGCATCATTAAGCTGGATTTATCAAAGGCTTTTGACAAACTCTCCTGGACTTATTTGGATGCTGTGCTAACCAAATTTGGTTTCAGCCCACCTGTTGTTCATCTTTTAATGGGTAACCTTAGGGCAACTCACTTCTCTGTATTGGTAAATGGCCAGCCACAGAGTTTTTTCCCCATGAAATGTGGAGTTAAGCAGGGAGACCCCCTCTCCCCTCTTCTCCTCATCATTGCCTTGGAAGGTCTGTCCAGGTTCTTAAATCATCAATTCTCCCGTGGATATATTTTACCATTCTTAGCGGGAAGGAACCCCACACCATGTCATCTTCTTTATGCTAATGACATCATCCTTTTCACCAAAGCAGACAGCAGGAATCTATTGAGACTTAGGGAACTTCTCTCCCTTTTCATGAAGGCATCAGGAAAGGAAATAAATTACTCCAAAAGCCAAGTTATAGTCCATGAAAGAATGAAGTCTGAGCAGCAAAACCAGATCAGAAAAATCTTGTCCATCAGGTGTCACACAAAGGAATTTACCTACCTTGGTTCTAATATTGTCAAGGGTAAACTGAGGAAGGTTCACTGCAAGGCATTGGTTGAAAAATTTGAGAAAAAAAATAAATGCTTGGTACAGCAAGAAGCTCAATCAGATGGGGAGGCTCATTCTCATCAAACACGTGCTATCCTCAATTCCTTTACATCTTATGGCTGCACAAAGAATTCCTAAGTCAATTCTCAAAAGTTTGAATAGACTTATGGCGAACTATTTCTGGGGAATAAACGAAGAAGGTCCAAAATATCACTGGAGAAAATGGGAAAAACTTTGTTTTCCATTCGAGGAAGGAGGTCTGGGACTTAGAAACCTCCTCAATAGCCAGGATGCAGCTTACATAGATCTGTGGTGGAAGGTGGTTACTGAAAATTCCATCTGGGGGAAATTTATGAAGTCTAAATATTTCAGAGATGGAATCTTCTCCCCTAAGATCTATGACTCATACACGTGGAAGGCTATTTGCAAGATCTCCCCTTTGGTCCTTCCACACTGCAGTTATCATGGTGAAGATGTGGCATGGCTATCAGGGACATACAGCTTCAAAACTGCCTACTCTCTCACGTTTGAACACAAGCCAAGAATGTTCACTTCTGTTTGTATTTGGGACAAGAGGCAAATGGGAAAAATTAGCATCTTCCTTTGGCGGTTTTTAAACAAGTTGCTACCTTTCCCACGAAACCTTCAAAAAATGGGAATCATAATAAACACACCTTGTCCTTTCTGTGGTGAACTGGATGTTGATGAACAGCATATCTTCGTAGGCTGCTCGATGATATCCCATATTTGGCAAACTTACTCTCTGGTTGTCAATGCACCTTCGGCAGGAGGAGATTTAACTGCTCAGCAAATCATTCTCAGCGGGTGGTTTTCGTCAAACAAGGGTAGCATCAAAGGGAACTTGAGATTTATCCTGCCTGGTCTTTTATGTTGGTCCGTTTGGAAGCTCTACAACTCCTTTCTCTACCAAGAACATAAACCATCCATCAACGGGCTGTTGACATCCATAAACAAACTCACTCAAGCTTGGTTTTGGGCAAATAAATTAGATACCACTTTTTTGTATAAGTCATCTATTTTTCAAGTGGGCATTTGTAGTTTCCAGAACACTAGATTGTAATCCCTCCTTTTTTTCCTCTTGTTTAATAAAGTTTCCTTTAATATATATATATATATATATATATATATATATATATATATAAAATATAAATTTATATTTATATAATGTTTTGCCGTGTAATATCATATTGCAATTTATGTAAATATTAGTCAAATATTAAGAACGTTTATAAAGAAAGATAGCAATAAAATAAGTTTAGTGTTTATTTACTCTTAGAGTATTTAGGGAATACTAAAAAAAGATGCATGTGAGAACTTATTATTTTACCTTAAGTTAAGATAAGACAAACAAGAAAGAAAGTGAGGCCGATGGTTCAATTGCTCATGCTGAATAAAGCAGTACTATAATCCTATCCTATATATCCTATATCCTATCATATATCCTTTATATATTATATTTGGGAGTTAAACTTCCAGAATGTTGACATTTGTCATGCTGAGTGGACAAAAAATTTAACAGCTCAGCTGCCATGTCATCATGAATGTGATGAATGTACTTATGGCGAGAAAAAACCCGGATGGCTGATTTGGGGAAAACCCACGCCTTCGACCCTGAGAGAACAGAGTTCGTTCATCAGCGCGATTTTGATTTCGTTCATCAGCGTGATTTCTGCTATTTGCATTCTGGAGATTCGCGATCAATTATACGCGAAATCTGGAAATGGAGATGAACGAAATTACAGTAATTCGCAATCAATTATAGGCCAATTTCTACTATTTGGATTTGGAGATGAGCGAAATCTGGAAATTCGCACTCTCCTTGGTAGACGGATGCAGTTTCCTTCCAAGATGAAATTGTGATGAGTGAAATTTCATCGGCGCTAGACTCTTGCCCAAGAACGGTAAGTTTCCTTAATTCTTTGTCCGATTCTACTTTTTTCACAGATTTCCTTATTACGATTTAGTTCATATATAAATTAATTCTAAATTAGCCATTTCATCAATCTTGGCTGTAAGGGCTGTTCATACCTAAAATCTTTGCATAATTGACATGTCTACCAAACCCATTCACCCTTTGCTGAAAATCAATCCAACAAGTGAATGCTGGAGAGTGTTAGTTCGTGTGGTTCGATTGTATAAGATACCAGATTACAATGATGACAAAGTCACTAATTCGATTGAGATGATATTCATGGACGAACATGTAAGAATCATATTCTTATACGAATTTTGCATACATTATATGAATTTGGCATACATTACTGCATACATCGTTGCATCCATTATACGAATTTGGCATACATTACTGCGTCCATGGTGACAAAAGAAGCCCTAACTTGGCTCTGTTTTCAGCTCTTCAAAGGAAAAAAACAGTATTTTTAACCAAATTGCATAGGTAGTATAGCATAGTGTACTTCATTTTTATTTATAAAATTAAATTGTGCTTTATGGGAAGGATACTCATAATTTTAGTGCAGTATTGGTTTGTTCCAATTCATCTACCATTTATAAAAGATTATGTTATCATTCTACTTAAATGTTTCTTCTACATAAAATAATGTCTGTTTCTTTGCCATCAATTTGTATAAAAAAAGAGAATCACATTTGTGTTGACGGTATTGATATAGTGAATGATAATCACTGCAGATAGACTAAAAGTGAAATGTTCAGTGAGATCGTTAAATCAAACAAATTGTTTTCTCCCCTTGAAAACCTGAGAATTCGGAATTAGGTTAAAGTATTTGTAAAACAGACCCAAAATTTTTGGTTAAACATTGGTTAAACAGACTTGATAGTTTTGGTTAAACATTGGTTAAACAGAATAGTACATGTTTGGTTAAACAGACCCAACATATTGGTTAAACAGACCCTATAGAATATGATGTCCATAGTCAGTGCATATTCTGTCCCGTCCCATATTCTGCTGCATATTTTCAGATTTATATTCTCTTATATTTTTTTATGGTGTTGAGTTTAGATTCTTAAAGTCTGATGAAATTTCTCCAATCCCTGGGTATTGGACGGTTCTCCAGTGCTTAAAAAAATCAGACAATACAACTTTTTATATTGCCAAAAAAGTCTGTTGAGTTTATATTCTTGGTTATTATGGTGCCTATTCATGTTGAAGCTTCTCAAGTGCTTAAAAAAATCAGACAAAACAACTTTTTATATTGCCTAAAAACTTTTCAAAGTCTCTACAAATTTGTTTTTGTAGTTTCAAATCACATTTGAATAGGCCAGATAGTGTTGATACCTGTTGAAGTTTCTTTAGTCCCTAAGTATTGCAGTCTCTCATGTCCCTATGAGTATTAAAGTTTCCTTGACATTTTGCAGGAAACTACTATCCATGCCACTGTAAGAAAAAGTTTGGTGGGAGCTTTTGAGAATAAAATAAAGGAAGGATCAGTATATGTCTTTGCTTATTTTGGCGTTGGCAATAGCAGTGGATATTATCGCACTTCAAGACATGAGTTTCGCCTAAATTTTCAAGCAAGGACCACCGTCACAGAAACCAGTTGTGACAAAATACCAGTTTATGGAATTAAGTTGGTTGCATTCCGTGATATCTTGCACGCAGATTCGAACTATCCGTATTTAGTTGGTAATGCTCCTTACTTGAGCCTTAAAAGTTTTTTTTAATTTGAATTACATACCCGTTAAAGAGGTGGATTAGATGGAATATGTTTCTCTTCGTTCTTCTCAATATCATCATTACATTGCAGACACTATGGGATTTCTTTCGGCTGTTGGGAAGGAAAGGGAGATAGTGAGGGAGTCAAAAAGAACAAAGATGATTGTGATTACGTTGGAGGCCAAAGGGTATAATGTTGTTATTTTTAGTTTCGTAAAAAGTGGTTGTTTTTAATGAACTAACATGTAATGCTAACTTTTGAACTTTGGTATACCAGACAAAGGTTGGATGTTACTTTATTTGGTGAGTATGTTGACGTGCTTAAAAGCTTCTTTCGACACGCGCCGTTGGAACATGCGGTGATTGTCATTCAGTATGATATGCTAAGGTCAAGATGTTTCAAGGTATTAATATCTTGAATACTATTGTGTTCTTTTATTTCCTTTTAAAATGTTGTTAATCGATTTTATTTCTTTACATGTCATTATATATTACACTACTATTTTCTTATATTCAACTTGCATGCTTTTAGGAAATTATATTCTACAAAATGTAATGTATGGTACACGTCTTCTGTTGAATCCGGAAATAAACGTCGTTACTGTTTTCAGACAAAGGTTAGTTCATCTCATATTTAATCTGTTTTACTGGCTGATTTTGGTTACAAGCAAGAGTAGATTTGACGCATGCAAACTAATAGAATAGTTACCATCATGCAGAATTCTTGGCGGTTCTTCTCAACCTCAGCCTGTTAGGTTATCATGTGATAACATTACGAGTTCAGACCAAAGTGACTTCCTCGATACGAGCAAAACAAGGGTGATTGCTAACCTGAAGGAGTGTAATGAGGTATATTTGATATTTTTAAGCATTCAATCCATACTTTCGAGACTTTTAATTATTGGTTTGCTTTTTGGATTCAATATATTAACATATGCACTATTAATTGAGAAATAACATGAGACCTAATATATGAATTTCTCTAAAAAGGATGGATCGTATGTGGTGTATGGGACTACCGTTGCGGTAAACAATGAGAGCGATTGGTGGTATTTAGCATGTAAGTGTAACAGAGCTGTTAAACCTGATGGTGCAATGTACTACTGTGCGCACTGCTCAAGTCGTGTTTTCAAGGTCACCCCGAGGTATCGTATAACTCTTTTTTTCATCAATGATTTTCTTTTAGTTGTTAAATATGTGCATGTAAGGAGATTACTTAAAAACTCTTTGAATTTTTTAAACTATTCTCTGCTTTAGATATCTTATCAAGCTGTCTGTTAAAGATGATTCTGGAACAACCACATTTTTTATTTGACCGTGAGGCGTCCAATATTTTGAATATATCCTGTGCAGAATTGATGGAAAAAAGTGATTTGGTATGTACTCTTGGTTCAAAACGCTTGGTTTATTAATTTTTATTAGATTATACACAGTTTTAGTTTGATTGTTTTTTCACATACTAACAAAATGTTGCTTTTATGTATGAAAGTAGCATGTTCTTACTATAGACAGTTTACTGATAACACACATGAAATTAATATCTAACAATTTTGACCATAATGTATAAAGCACACACGGATTGTCCACATGAAAAAGGTTATATTTTTTAAAGTAAATGTTGCTGAAATTCCTACTAAAAATGGTGCTAAAATTTATGAAATAACTGTAAAACATTCATAATTTTTATGATAGTTAAAAACAAATGTATAATACTTCAATTTACTTTATTTTGAAGACAATGTTTGTCTTATTTGTAAACTAATGTAACGGATAAATTTCTCGCAGGCTGGAAGTTTTGAAAATCCAAAAGAGTTTGATGACCTCTTGCTTGGGAAGACGTATATTTTCAAAGTTGAGGTAAGGGTCATGAACCGCGGCCAGCATGAACACTCTTTCAGAGTGTCAAAAATATGTCACGATGATACCATCAAGAAAAAAATACCTGGAATCTATTCATGCAAAAAATTCAAAAGCTGCAGTGAATCGCGCTATACCAGTGTACTCCGTTGAGGAGGAGTTTTTAAACAGAACGCTTGCTAAAACAATAGAGTCTTTGAAGGATTGCACGAAGGTTAGTTATACCATTTTAATACACACTTCTTGAAGACATTTCCAAGACATTGTATTTAATAATTTACCTATTTTGGCACTAGGATGGAGAGTATGCAGTCTACGGTACCATCAAAGGTGTGGATGGTGGAGCTGATTGGTTCATACCAACGTGTAGATGTGGATCGGAAGTGATTCCACGGAATGGCTTTTACTACTGCAGCGACTGTAAAAAATGTGTTGTGAATGTGATTCCAAGGTAATATTACTCTTAAAATTCTACCAAGATTTCAGCTTTTATCCTGCCTACCAATTTCCTAACAATTTGAAAAGCCTTCTTGATATAGAAGTACATTGATCACACTTTGTGTCAATTTCTGTCATTCCTTAATACAAGATCGCAAAACATATAATAAGGTTGATGACACTTTTTAATCATAGTGTATGATCAACAAACATATAATAACGTTTTGAATTTCAAGATTTAAATGTTTTTTATTAGAGTATGCAAGTTTTTACACTACTTATTTACAAATATATAGTCTGATGTTCCACTTATTATACTGTTTTTTTATAGTCTGATTGATGATGTTTCTCCGGTACGTGAGTATTAAAAAAACTGATTTTTACTTTTTATCCTGCATATTATGACGTGACTTTTCACATGGATTGCATTGTTACAAAGTATTTTAATTTTTCAATTACGAAATGAGTGAGTCTCAATGTTATTTGGTTCAGATACTGTTTTTTCTCACATGTGGGTCAATTACTGTTTATTTTTTCATACAAGAAGATAAGCAGAGAGAGGAACTGATGATAATGTAATCCCACAGTGTCTAGCTTCTTTGAGTTGTATTTTGAAGAAAAAATACTAAGTACTTGATTTTAGTTTGGTGTTGGTATAACAATGTCACCTTAAAAACTAATCACACTAAGACGTTTTGTTTAAGACAACCAAAGACGGTATCTACCGTGCTTATCTACATACTTTTTGATATTCGAATTTTAACAAATTATAAAAACATATGATAACACCTAATGGTAAATATTAATATAATGAATATATGCAGGTATCGAATTAAGGCAAGAGTGAACGATGCATCAGATAGTGCGACTTTTGTGATATTTGAGAGTCTTGGATGTTTGTTGTTGCATAAGTCCTGCTCTGAGATGCGGAAATTCTGTGAGGTATGTATAAAAAAACTTATTACATTATTGCAGTTTGTATAAAGACCTTAAGAGGTATGTGAGATGTGAATTTCTTTGACACTTACTGTCAAAATGAATAGCTGCCCCGAGTAATGTTCCTATTTGTATATAAAGGGCTTGCCAGTAGGATGTGAACAACCAGATGTGTTCAAACAAATGCTACTTGAAAAGTCATTTATCTTCAAGGTTGAAGTCAAGACTGCAAATATCAATGATTTTGAACCTTCCTACAATGTGAATGACCTATGCTTTAATGACCGGATCATTGCAAAATTTATGGAGATGCACTCTTCATTTTTCTCTCCTCAGGTTTGGAATTAAAACAATAACTTCAAGCTCATTCTCTACCACTTTTTGAATGATGGAATATTTGTGTTTGGTAATGTATTTATATTTTCTTTATACCAGACGGATAAGACTCTCGGGTATTCAACTGATGGGAAGACAAACACAGAAGTCATTTCAGTTGGCAATGCATCGTCTTGCGTAAAGGTATTGAAATCCAAGACATAAAATAAGATTAATGTTTAAATATTTTTTATTCATTAAATTTCAGGTGCAACCTTAATATATTCATTTATTCGTTTCACAATCCTTTATATATTATATTTGAGAGTTTAACTCCCAGAATTTTGACATTTGTCATGCTGACGGGGATTTTTTTTGACACTTCATAAGCCATGTCATCATATTGGACTTACTCAATATTTCAAACGAGTTGGATAATGATTCATTACTTTGGGCTTCTTTTATTTGGGCTACTTTGTGTGGAATTCATCCGCAAGTCTGAATGAAAGCGAGACATCAGCGTCACTTTCCTTCGATTGCACCTCCCTGCGATATTCATCTTCGAATGGCTCCACCGCGAGATTTCAGAGAGTATGTGATTGGAATTAATCTCCTTCCTTCTTCACGGTCCTTCTTCACGGAGATTCCAACGATCGGTACCAATTAAGAATAGGTAATTTTCCCTTTTCTTAAAAAATCATAATTGTTTTTGGAATGATTGGCCT